TTAATCTATATGCTACAGAGGCATTAAGGCAACATGGACAATTTCCATTAAAAATTATTTAAACACACCACAAAGTTCTTTGGTGACATATAATGATTGATACAATGATCTAAATTTATTTAACACTATGATCTAGTATGTGCTGGTTTTATAATGAATAGAAATAATAAGACCTCTTATTTACTTTTCATGCTTTTTCAAGCGTCAGACAACTCCATTAATGAGTCAGCCAATATAAACAAAACTGCTTTAGAGTCACAAGCCCTTATTTTCATTCCTAGAAGCCTGGCATGTTGGAAGATCTTTTTTATTTTTTACTCTGATTATCAAGGCTAGATTTTTTTTTTTTTTTTACAAAAATGGAAACATAATTAGGCCATTGAGAAACCTGTAAAGTACAGGTTAAACACCAGTCAAAACAGTTTTTATTGAAGGGGAAATCATTGAAAAGATGCTGCTTCTCCCTGCAAATCACAGATATGACCTTTGAAAGCTTGCTTTGTGCGTTGCTCTGGAGAGAAGCTAGCTGGTGACTAAGCGAGAGTATATTAAGAGTTTCCCACACACGGTTTAACACACAATACAGCAATTTGTATTGGTAATAAGGAGAATAATGGAAAGAGAGATAAAAAGCTGCCAGGCTTAATTCACCAACAACTGCATCTCAAAGGGAAAAAGGTGCCCCTAAGTATCCCAATTAATTGAAATATATTTGAATTTTCCAAGAGAAGCAAACACTAAACCTGAATCCAGCAAACAGGCTGGGTTATAGATTGCCTTCCTTCACTCATGTGAAAACCCACCTATTTTTCTCAGTTTACACTTTATTGCACCACGAGTAACAGGTTTTCATTTACTCTTTACACGTTAGAGGTAGTCTCAGAATGTCAGGTCTCTTTCTGATTTCCATCCTTCTCATTGCACAATGCCCAGTGTTTCTAGTATGTAAGGAGGAAGAGTTGGAAATGAAGCTGTCTTTGTTAAATTAATATTGTGAGTTAGCATGCAAACTGATGAGTTTCATTATGGTATTTTCTTACTTTCTTTTTTATTATATAACACTTCTCATACATACATGTCATTTTGTTTGTTCTTCTTTATTCCTCCTGCCAATTTCTCTGGTACCCCAGCTGTGTTTGTTACTGTTTTTGGTCATCTTCCTCCCCACAAAGATCCTCTCTTTTTTTGGTCTTATGTCACAAGTGTTCCATTACTGTCTTTTCTCCCTACCTCTCGCATACAGTCTCTTTCTTTCCTCCCACAATTCTCTGTCTATGTTCAGGTGTTAAGGTAGCACATGCATGTGCATGCATTCACACAAGCGCACGCGCGCGCGCGCGCGCACACACACACACACACCCCTAGACTTACAATGTTAGAGAAAGCACACACTATTTGTTTTTCTGCACCTGTCTTGTATAACTGGCTATGGTGATCTCTATTTGTGTTCACTTTGCTACAGATGTCACAATTACATTTTCTTTTGTGGCGGAAAGAAACCCATGTCTCGCTATCTAAGTTCATCAGGCTAAGGATGCTCGTGTATGTGTACATTCACCACATGCTCATTTGTATCTAGACGCACCATATTAGAGAAATCATGCATGTCCAGTCTGATTCTATTTCTTGGGGACTACAAAGAATGCAACAATAAGCATGGTTGTGCGTGTGTCTTCATGGTGTGTGTTGACTTAGATTCCCTTACATATATACCGCCTATGTATATGCGTCCAGTAGTGATATAGTCCTCCTTTTAGTTTGCTGAAGAAATTCTACAATGCTATCCACAGTGGCTATTTAGCACACATTCCAACCAACAGTGTATCTGTCTTCCTCTTCCCCGTATCTTCACTAGCACTTACTGTCATTTGCTTCCTTGACAATAGCCATTCTGACTGAGGTGAGAAAATCCCAAAGCAGTTTTACATTTCCTCTATGGTTAAGTTTTTAATATTTTTTCAAGTATCTATTGGCTATTTGTATTACTTCTTTTGTATTACTACTGTCTATCTAGTTAATCAGCTCATTGATCGACTGGATGGAATTTTGGTGTTAAAATTTTTATACTTTATGTATTTTAGATATTGATTTCCTGTCTCATGTGCACTCAGCAAAGATTTTTCTCTCACTGTATAACCCATCTTTTTACCTGGTAATTCTGGAAACCAATCTATTAATATAAAAGACTACCCTGTTACCAACAGCATAATCTTGGGGACATGGATTCTGGTAATATTATTTGTTAGTTTGGTTTTCAAGACAGGATTTCTCTGTGTAGCCTTGGCTGTCCTGGAAATCATTCTGCAGACCAGGCTGGCCTTGAACTCACAGAGATCCACCTGCTTTTACCTCCTGAGCACTGGGGCTAAAGGTATGTGCTACCATTGCCTAGCTCTGATAATATTTTTAAAAGCCTAAAATTTAGATGAATGTATCTCTAATTTTTATATAATCACTATTATATAACCAAGAAATATATCAAGTTCTGCTTAATTTAGTCCTGACAAATTTTCATTATCTCTGATAAGAGTTCTAGGCTACATGAATGAACTTTGGATGAGCAGTGGCTAATCCTAGCTTCAGTCTGTGCTCCACAGAGTAAACACAAACCTACCAGTGCTTCAGTCACAGCTTAAGATGATGTTATGTTCTTAGTTCAGCAAATATCTGGCTAGCACTCAAGAATCATTAAGGGTGATTTATAAGTGAATTTTCCTTTGTGGAGTAAAAGGAGTGGAAAATTTTTACACGAATGGGAAAAGAGTGCCCTTTAGCAACAAGGAGGGGCATAAACACAAAAGAAAATGGGAGGAGGGTAATCTGAGAGAGAAAATAAGAAAAAGGAGGGACTTTTAGGGAGGAGGCAGGGAGGTAAATACAGAAGAAGGTGCACAGAATAACAACAAAAAGCTACAATGAATCCTACTCTTAACTTTTTAGCTAAAAGAAACTTGTAGCACATGCAACTTCATGTATAAATATACATGCAGGGCTTTCATGAACTTTTCTCATCTGGGCCTCAACCCTACACAAAGAACTGTAGGCAACTGAGGAAGCTGGCAGTAGGAGAGGTGTTTTTTTCCCATGGAAAGGCACACCAATTGGTTGTCTAGTACCAAGTAGTCAACACTGAAAACAAACATACAAGTAACGTTATATGGACTGACCAGATAATATTTGGGCTATGTATGTATATACACATGCAATAACAATTAGTGAAAAAAGAAACCATGGATTCAAAGGAGAGTGGGGAGGGATATATGGGAGGGTTTGGAGTGAGAAAATGCAAGGGAGAAATGTAATTACATTATAATTTCATGTATGAAATAAAACATTTTCTCACTATTATAAATTTTGTATATTTCCATGTAACTCCCTTTTGGAATCTCATAAAGGTATAAAAGGAAAAGAAATGTAATTTTTATATTGTATATAGTACTACAGTACACTGTAAACTTCTTATTAGGGTGTAAGTTCCAAATGACTGTTTCATAAATTCTTTACAATGAAGGGAAAACTTTTACCTGAAAGGAAAAATGCATTATCCACAGTACACCCTTTCCAGACTATTGGAGACTGTAGTCTGACTTTTTGAGTCATTTTCAACTCTGCATTTTGTAGATAACACATAGCAATGCAAACTAACTTTGCCTTATCTACATGTAGGTAAATTATGTCTAGTGGATGTTCACTGATCTGTTTCCTACACTGTGAAAGCAGCCAGATTTTCCTTCATTTGTTCTTCAGTTTCACTATCCCAACATTTAGCAATTTTCTGGTCAGTGCTTTTATCTGACTGTGACACTTTACTGGTTCCTTCATTGATAAATTTTAAATAATGAATTAAATATAATAGACAGCATGCATTTGCTTTCTATTGTTATGACAGTTGTAAGTTTTACTCTTCCTGGTTTGGAAAATCTTTGTAACAATCTAAAGGAAAAGTGGGATTTTTGAATGGGGAATTTTATAATAAGGTATCCTTGGTCTTTGCTCCCGAAGGCTCTTACTAGTCTTTTCTTTCTGATCAATTGATGCATTTAATTCTTCTCAATTTGAATCAGCCGCTACTCAATTTTTTTTATCTCTGTCATTTTTTTTTAAATTATACCTTGAACTGAACTGAAATCCAGATGTGAAGAAGGAGGACTGATGAGCAAATGGGTCCAGACCCCTGAATGTGGGTGTCAGTGAGGAGACCTTGGAAATCTCTGGGGCCTCTTGTAGTGGATCAGTACTTAATGCTAACATAGGAACGGACTTGGGGAGCCCATCCCAAAAGGAGGGATACTCCCTGAGCCTAGACACAAGGGGGTTGGCCTAGGCCCTATCCCAAAGAATATAACAGACTTTGACGACCCCCTATGGAAGGCCTCACCCTCCCTAGGGAGCAGAAAGGGTATGGGATGGGTAGGGCGTTAGTTGGGGGGGGGACAGGGGAGGAGTGGAGGAAGAGGGACCTGGGATTGACACATAAAAAATTTTCTTGCTGATAAAAAAAAAGAAAAAAAGAAGTTAAAAATATTTATACTATGTATCCCAGACTGGCCTCGAACTTGTGATACTCCTGCCTCAGCCTCCAGAGTACTGAGATTATAGGCATGTACCACCACACTTCTCCTATTCATTCTTTTGACAACCAAGAAAACCTCCCCCCACCCCTGGAGTGGTAAATTTATCAATTGTATACTTAAGTTTACAAAGTTAAAGCAAACAATCCTGTTAACATTTCCTATTTTCAAAAATGATACATTTTTCCCTTAGGAAACAACTGAGCACCCCAAAAATGTAAATGATAAATAATGTGTAAATTTAATTTTCTTTGCCCCCAAAAGGCACAGAAACCCCTCAGATCACTCATAAATACCATGCAGTTCCACACACATCACTTTTAGAAGTTAATATTTTCATTGAGACCATTCACTGAAAACCATTTTGTTATATGCAGAGGAAACATTTCATAGTAGACAGTAGATTAAAAACAGATTATTTTTACTTACTGTGCCCCACCAGAGAGCATCTGCATATGTAGAGAACTCTTTGTTGGCATCCTTTTCCACCAGATAGACAAGGAAAGATGAAAAAATAAGAACCAGAAATCCTATGTACCAAGCTGTGATTAATTCCTAGGTATAAAAGGAAAACAACAACAACAACATTTTAGAGGTAAAAAGAATCTTTGATAAAAGGAAATAAAATCCATGAACAATTCAATCATTTTCCTACTTCTAGCAAGTATATGAAGGCTTTTTAAGTAACTCATTATGTACCAGGGCCCCAAATAGCTTGAGCCGCAGTCTGAGGTCACTGCCCATTAACCATTATTGAAATCAATGGAACGTTTTCAAAAGTTTTGCTATAAGGTGTAGAGAGCACATTTTTACCTTGCTGTGAGCATAAACCACGGAGCCCAGCAACTTCCAGGTGCCTCCCCTCCTGTCCATGCGCACCATACGCAGGATCTGCAGGAACCGGAGACTTCTGAGCGCTGATGTGGCAAAAATATTACCCTGAGTTTTTGCAGAAACAACTGCTATTGAAGCGATAAGAACAATGGTATCTGAAAGAAACAGGTTGAGACAGCCATAAGTCACGTGACTAATGCATTTTATTTTTCAAAGAATTTGTGTGTGTGTGAAGATTTAATGCTCATTAGTTTGAGGCAAAAGTAAACAGAGCTGACAGCCTTACCTACCCGCACTTAGTGAGGAGCTTACTGATGGCAGAGTGAAGAGGAACAGAACATGACCCACTTGTTACTTTAACTCTGGTCCTTTGACCACTCTGCACTTTTATCTGTACAATTTTGAATCTCACAACCTTCATCAAATTGGACAATGGCATCCAGAGAGTTCAGTGTCTTGGGGAGCTGCAGGATTATAAGGCTCTCTTTCACAGTAACCCCATTTTCATTAATTCCCTAGTCTTCAACAAAAGCTCCCAAATCAACCCCTAACCTCTAGCTCCTGGCTTGATGGGAGAAGAAATGCCTTTGCTTCTTACTGTTTTTGCCAAACAAGATAGCATCCTCCCTGTGCCAACTATTCTCTCCTGTTGTGGAATCTGAAAATGCTTACTGTTTAGCAAACTCCAGTATTCTGAATACTCTGTGCTCCGAATATGCTCTTTTAACTGGTCTGTCAGTTCAGTGAAAGCTTGGAGCACAAATCAAATCTACCTCTGTTGCAATACGTTATGCAGTTATGCACCATGGGCTTTGCATGGAAATGGATACTGAATGTTTGACGTATTGGCATTTGGCATTAAGCTGACACTTGCTTAAAAGTGTCAGCTCTTTTGTAATCGAAATAGCTAACAAAGGCAGAGAAAAGACTTAATCATCCAGAAGTAAATCTATAAGTAGTAGGAAAGGGATTTTGAGGTAGTAAAGGCAAAGAGACAAAGTTGGTCTTTTTAGTATTCACTTGTCTTCAATACCCTCAAGTCAAATTTCCTTCTTGCTTCAAGTAGGTTGTGCATGACTGGGCTTCCACATTCGGAGGCTGTGTTCTGCTCCATGGGTATAGGGTGTGGCATTTGAAACATTTCTATTATTCTCGGGAATAATGGACGTATAAAGGTGTCTTCATTCAGTTTTTCATTTGTGATGGTGGGACCATTTTGTACAAACTGACAGGACTTGTCTGAGTAATTCTTCTGCTGTCCTTCCTTAGGTCTTTGATTGGAGAGAAAGGATCAGTGATTGACAGTTCAAGGATTAGCCATAGGGCTTTTCTAGTCAGACCTAGACTCTATCCTGTGAGGAGGTGCCCCAGGGCCTCAAATGCACCCTTGAGTTTATGCTCTTGAGAAGGTACTAAATGTGTCGATGCAGACACCAAAGACATTTTTTAAATGAGTAGAAGCCATCTGCAAATGTGCGATGTAACATTATTGTAGAAAGCATATACATCAGTTAGTGTAGGCTAGGAAAGCATATGCAAATTTGCATAGGTTATCACCATTAATTAGCTGTAGGTGGTAGACAACCAGGTGATATTAGAGACAGGGACTTTTATTTTCCAAATTATAAATCTCCATGATGTTGGAGTTTTAGTATACAAATACCTAATTTGAAATCAGAAAACAAATTGAAAAATTTGCATGTACATGGAAGCCATGTCCTTCGCCATTTTGAGAGACTGTGACAACAGTCCCTTAAGACAGACACTGATTTTATGACCCTTGTTTATATTTTTCTTTTGATTTTATTGTATTGTAGCATATTACCAAGTATACACTCCATTATTTATGTTCTAAAATACTCAAAACACTGGAAATAGGTAAATAGCTGGTAGTGCCGCACAATATACAGCAAACACAACTGATTAGCATGCCTGGAATTCTCTATAATTTTGAGTATATCTTCTAAACATAACTTTTAATTGTATATGTGTGTGTAGTTATGCGTATGCAAGTGCAGATGCCCACAGAGGGCCCCAAGAACTGGAAACTAAGGAGCTGGATTTATAGGCAGTTGTAAACCACCACCTTTCCTGCTGGGGACTATCCCTAGTTCTCTGTGAAGCAATATGTGCTCCTAACTACCACACAATCTCTCTAGACTCCAAATTTATCTCTTAAACTGTTTTTTTTAATTAACTTACTTTTATTTTACACATATGACTGCTTTGCCTGCATGCATGTCTGTGTACCACATGTGTGACTGTTGCTCACAAAATCCAGAAGAGGATAGGAGACCATTGATCTGGAGTATCAGATGGTTGTCAGACACCATGGGGATGCTGGGACCTGAGTCTGCCTTCTCTACAAGAACAGCAAGTGTTCTGAGCCACTAAGTCCTTTCCCTTGCCCCTCAAACTTATTCTTATTGTCATGAAACCTACTAATTAGAAATTATGTAGATCTCATTTTCCAGAAGAAGACATGAAGAATGGAATGAATATACTGAATTTTTAAAAGATCAACCGTCAATCCATTGTTAGACTAATACCTCTAAAAGCATGCTATGAAGTTAGCATGTTATAGCAAAACTAGAGAAAGTAAAATGAACACTGTTAATTTGAAGAAAATTTAAGATTAGTCACACAGTGAATCATACTCTAAATGTCGGAAGTCACAAATTATGCAAAGGCAACTGCAGATTGGATTTAATACTCTCATTGCTATTCAGGTCAGAAGAGGAAGCCAGAGTTCAGTAAAATGAGCAGCCAAATGGCAAACACAGAACACACATTTTTTCCTTGTCAGCACCACCTACAGTATTTCCTAGGATAGTGTGAAAGTTAGGAGTAATTTTTACTTTTATTCATGTTTCTATTATGTTTGTTGTCTGTTAGTTTATAGAATGGTGCTCCCACAGGATCAAATTATTATTTTTTGTTTTGTTTTGTTCTCCCCCTTTTACGTAGCCTGAGAACTTTTTTCTTTTTAAATCTCCTAAGTAAATCGGACAGCACATGGAATGTGAAACTTATAGAGCAACCTTAGATAAATAAGCACATAAATATAGCTTATATAATACATCTCATTAAGATTTATAATGCAAGGCTGGTGAGATGGCTCAGTGGGTAAATGTACTTGCTGCCAAGCTTGATGACCCAAATTTGATCCCCAGAACCCACATGGTGGAAGAATTGATTCCCACAAGTGATCCTTGACAGTAACGCACATGCTGTGGACACCCCCCCAATAAATAATAAAGTAATAAAAAACCCATATGAAACTCTACTATTTTTCAAGCTAATTAAAATATATAATTAAAAACACAACAAGAGCTGAACAGAGATACTTTGCATGAGTGGACAATGGCTCTCCAGAAGAGATGGGTTACTAAATGAAAATATCAGTGGCAGGAGTGGGTTACATCTTTACCAAGTTTTTGGTCAGGGAGCATTCAAAGCTTTTGACATTGCTCTTGGTTGCTCACAGAATAGCTATCTGGTAAGACTCTATTGCTGAAGATACAATGCATTTTGGTAGCAGGATATAGAGAATTCAAATCGGAACTGACATGAAAATGTCTTCACTGCTGACTAGCTGTCATAGTGCTAGAATATGTTATGTAGGTCACTGGGAGAAAAAGGACATTAATGGTACCCTATGGCCAACCCTAAATCATAAAATATTAACATTCCAGGCAAGATGTGCTTACTGGTACAATAGTGGCACAAAGGTTCTGGGGTAACCAACTGCTTTAACATTGATTGGATTTGAGGCCTGCTCTCCTGGAAGGAGTTTTATGTCCGGTACTGTAAATTTAGTCAAAAGCTCATGGCTTAGGAAGCCATGGGCCCTAAAGAGGAACCACCTTTTTTTTTGTTTGTTTGTTTGTTTTTTGTTTTTTTTTTTTTTTGCTAAGTGACATGTTGCTATACAGTCTTCTAAACATTTATGTTTATGCTCACAGATTAGTGCTGCCCTCACCTTGGGTAGGGAAAATTCTCTTTTCTAGTCAGGAGTTTATTCAGAGTTTCATAGTTGGTCAGAATGTCAGAACAAATGACTCTTCAGTGTTCAGCCCAAAAGTAGCATAGGTGTTGCTGAAGCTGTGCTGCTAAGAGCTATACTACAACCATCTTTGGCTGAGTAAAGTCCAGGGCAGGCTGGTGGTGGAGGGAGTGGAAGGTTGTGAAAGCAAGTGTACAATGAATCAAGAGTAAATCGTTATCACATAAAGCACTGAGGAAAGATAGAACGCAGGGAGAGTTGGGCAGACATAAAATGATGCTAAGAACAGATGGTCTTTTTGTGGATGTATCAAGAGAAAATGGGGCTAGAGAAAGAAATAGAACAGCTAATAAAGAGTTCAAGACTGCATTAAAAAAAGAAATCCTGTGGGTCTAATGCTTACTTCTTCCCAGGGAAATGGTTATGAACACCTTGGAAAATGTTGGAAGACCTCTTGGTGATTCTAAGCAACTGGGTAGAAATAGAAATACAGATAGACTAATGCTGTATTATGGAGGAGGCTCACAACATACTGAGTCATTCAGAATGATTTATTAATGATCTTTACTTGAGACTTGGGGAAATGGCAAAAGATTTGAACAAAGTAAAATCCATAATGGTATTTAAGACACACTGGGATGTGAAGGAGCTTACCACACTCCTCTAACTCAGCTCCAGTATTGTGTAGTCAGCAAAATCAATATGAATCAATAACTATAGATGGTGTCTAAAGGAGCTAAGTCACCAAAAGCTCTCAATATGAGGCTGAATCACATGCACAGCTACCTGGGTTAAAGCAAGGGCAGTTATCCATCTGTACTTGACAGGCTTTGCTTTGTTGCCACAATTGCACTAGGTAACATGTCTATTAGACTTAGCTCAATGGGCAAACTGAATTATAAGGACTGAGAGAAGCATGGCTGGACACTTCAATACCAGTAATTGTAAGAAGAGAGAAATTTTAGAAGTTAGCCACAGAAGTCATGACTGGAGCCGTAGACACTCTGAAGGTACTAGGCTTCTTAAAAGTCTTCCTAGATTCTTAGCATATTTTCAGTAATTCAGAAATTTCAGGTTTCCTCTAATATCATGGATTTCTCCCTTCCAATTAAAATTATTTTCATTTTATTGTTTCTGGAAAAATCAGAA